TTTTTTTTACTATGGACGCTGTATTTCTCTTCAGTATATCCTTGTAAATTGCTGAGAGTCCTGCTGGTTACAGTGGTTATAAACTGAACAAATAAAATTAAGGGTGAACAGCCAAGTCTGAACCTTGCACCATCCCATAACACGCCTCTTTGACTTGATGAGCCCTCTCTGAATACAGTTTTGGGGCAGCCTGGACCCCTTAACTGTCCTGCCATCCACCCACTCCTGACCAGCTTTCGTAACCAGAATGTCACAGGAGACTTTGTCAAACGCTTCCTGAAGCCAAGATCCATTATGCCTACAGCACGTATTATTCCTGTTAGGGACCATGACCAAATGCCATCGTGGCTTTGACCGCCCGCGCATCTCGTATTGATTCTCATTCCGGGCCGTGGGAGCTCAGAGGGATCCTTACTGGCCTCTCGCTGCCCCTTTCAGAGCTGCTGCACATCTGTGCTAAGATGGACAAGGTTTGCAAGCGCTCGGGTGTGGATTACGTCCTTCCTAGCTCCGTGCAGCCAGAGGCCAGGCCGCCCAGGACAGAGGCAAAATTGCTGAGAAACGGGGATTGCGTGAGCTTTTCGGCCACGTCCCTGGACGTCCGAGTTGGAGCCGTCTCTCTTCCCCACATCGCGGGCATTGAGGTAGCTCAAACTTTGCATTGGGATTTGAGGGGAGGAGCGGGGAGGTGTTGAGAAGACGCAAGCAAGTTGCAGCGTGGTTGTTAGTGGCGATGATGCTTAGCAAATTTCCTTCCAAACTGCGCTTGGCTTTGTGAAGCATTCAGCTACAGTGCCCGATTTCGTTAATAAAGAAAAATGGTTCAGACTCACCAGCCCCTGCCATTCTGTCGGAAAAGGCACAAAAGCAGAGATTTTGGCAGCTTCTCGGGAATCCTTTGCAACAGTCCACTTTGCTTGCATAGTTCAAACGCTCTCTAGGAAAACCCAAACCGGTCTACTCTAAGCAAGCATCTGTCATATAGTCCTGCCTGACGTTCTCTTGCCCAGATTTCAGAATTTAGGAGTAGCAAGGGGAAGCCAAAGGAAGCAACAGCTACAGGTTAGCCAGTGCAGTTTGGAATGAGCAGAATGTGGAGGGAGTTTCTTCTCAGTCCCGGAGTTACGCTTCTCTTGGAACCATTCTTCCCACAAATCGGGCTGCTGGGTATCTTTTGTGTACCCACCACCTACCTGAAAGGTGCCCAGTGACTTTTCTTCCTCACTTGCAATATTATTACGCTTCTTAATCACTTCCTGTTCCGAGTTAGCTCTCTCTAATTTTAATGTCCCCTTTCATGTTTAAAGGTATCCAAGGAGGACATCACATTGAGTCTGGCAGGTCAGTATCCTAAACCTGTTGGGAGAGGAGTTGGTACGCCTGCAGTCGTTCGTGTGCAAGAGATAAAGAGCTGGATTCAGATGCACGAAGCACGTGAGCCCCCTTCCCCAGCTTGGTTCCGTACAGCTGGTTGGACCTCCGGTCTCCGCTGGAGATCATTGGGTGGGGGATGCTGCCTTCCAGCCCCTGGAGGATGAGTGTGCCAGACGGCAGGTCTCATCCCATCTGCAGCTAGTACTGGGGCTCGGGAAGGGTGTGCCATGCTTTCCCAGAGCCGCTATACGTGACGTCCAGAGGCGCTTCGTGGCACGCTCCTTTGGGTTGCATGCCTTCCAGGCGGGCTCTGCAGCAGAGGAGCCTGGACTCTCCCAGCAGTGGGAAGAGTTTGCCGTTGGTGGCTCGGAAGCAGAGGAAGACCTCAACAGCTGCTCTCCAGCAACATTACAGGTAGTCCTCACTTAACGACTCTAATTGGGACCGGAATTCCATCACTAAGCGAAGTGGTCTTTAGGTGAAACATCGTGTGACCGCGCTGCTGTAACCGTCGTTAGGCGAAGACCTCATGCTTCTTCTGCCCTGCGCAAACTGCTGGCTCCGTCCAGCTGCCTCCTCCCCAGCCGGGCCCGGCAAGCTCCCTTTGGCGGACGAGACTCCACCGCTTGCCGCACTCGCCCCCGCTTCAGTTCCCCCCAGTTGCCTGTCTCCCCCCACCTCTGGCCTTTTGGCTGCCCTGCACTCCGCAGCTGCCTACCCCTGCCGCCCCCCCGCTGACAGCTCTCCAGGCAAAGGGGGCAGCCGTGGGGGGCATGCAAGGGCTCACAAGGGCCTGTGG